ATAATATGGAGCAGGACCTTTGCTTTGTATTATTATACCCACAGGCATTATTTCATTCTATCTGCTTTCAAACATTCAAGTCCAACTGTTAATTTATAATACAGTTTATAGCAGATGAGTAAACTGAAAATTAAGGAGAGTTAAGATAGCACAATAAAGAGCAAATGGGTCAATATCCATAACTGTGGCTCCTTGTACGGACCTTGAAGGAACACTATTCCTTTAAGTAAGTAAAAAAAAAAAGATTCAAGTTTGAACATAGAAGACAAGAGAATGTCTTGATGTTGTGTATACAATTTGAGAAATAATTTTTGTTTATTATCTAAAATTAGTTGAGGTCTCTTGACATTTTTATTTTTGCTTATGCTGCCCCAGAATTGTTTAGCTATATATAGTAATTAATATTAAACTTCTTAAACCAAACATCTTAATCCAAGATGCTTCACAAGTAAATTGTATTATATTATGTGGAAACAGATGACAATTATAAATTTGAATACTTCAACCAGAAATAAATGACTCACACACTTGTTTCCATCTTCAATATTTTTTCAATAACTCTATAATTACAAGGTGTCTTATGGTACATGGAAATTATTTATTAAAAGTTATAATAAGATAAGAAAATGTTGAGTTAGTATGTGCACCACAATAACTTCATTACTAACAACTATTATGTAAATCTACACTCTGTACTTACAATATTCTCCATTTTCTTTTGCACAAATACTACAGGATTATAAGCTTGTATTTAGTAGTTGTTCTTCATTTTTTTTTCTTATCAGGGCTATTTAAGGAAAATAATGCTATTGTAGAAGTAGAGTACTGGCTAGTCTTCTCGTAAGTAAATCAGTGTGTATAAGTGAGTCTACAATTTAATGTTACTTTGACTATCAAAACTGTCGTGACAAATATTAATTCTTCCAACAGTCTTACTTTGTATAGGTTTGTATTTTATATAGCAAGTTTAGTATGAATACATCAGGAAGAATAATGATAATGCTATATTGTTTGCCTTTATGAATTATACTCCATGCTATATTTCAAAGAGTGCTCATAACTCAGGAGTGAACTTTGCCTCTTTATCCCAGCTTTACATAGCATTGGGCTGAGTCCTCAATAAAGACAAGTTTTCAAAGAAAATTAAATTTTCAGTTTAAATATATAAAGGAGAAAATAGTTAACCAATATATTGATATTCTTTTTAAACTCAGTCTTTTAAGATTAATATTTAGAATTTTAGTTTACATTTTAAGGAAACCAATTAACCATAGTTTTTGGTTTGTTTGTTTTTTGCTTTTTTATTTTTGTTCTTTTTGTTTTTGTTTTGTTTTGTTTTGTTTTTTGGTAATGCTTGCTAAATATGCATGAAACTCTTTAGTTCACCTTCAAAATCACAAGTCACAAAATAAGTTATGGATAAGGAAATCATTGAAAGAAAAAGAGATTCTGTCATGAAAATACAACCATTTCATTCCAATATCTTAAGTTACTTTAGATATTATCTACATTTCCTAGTGTCATTAAAACATAAAATGATGGATATAGAAATTAAACAAATAATCAGATTTTACAAAATGGATCATTAATTTAACACATTTAGCAGTAGCATGCTATTTATTGAAAATATAGAGTATGTTGAGTATTTACTTAACATAGAAATTTAACATTAGCAGAACTATGGGGGGTGTTCAATGAAAATGAACATGTTTGCATGAGAGATGGGCCTCAGTTAGTTACAATCCAGTAAAGGACATCTTCTAAATGGTTGGATAATACTTCTCATGTTCATGCAAAAGGGCCTATTTAAACATGCTGCTGTGAAACAATACACATTTGAGAGTGAGTGAAAGAAGTTGGGTCGATGGTACAGAGACAGATTTATCCAAATTTTAAAAATATGCAGACACATAAATGAAAAAATATTCATAATTAATGAACATGTAGAAAGGAACAAAAATGCAATGAAAAGATTCAATGAATTAATATTATATTGAAATGGATTCTCAGCAAAATATTATTCTTGCAAACTCTTAATAGAACATAAATACTATGACTGGCACTGCATGAAACAGACAGCCACCACCAGAGGGATCATTAGAAACCTCTGTCAGGCTTCTGTACTTGACCATTCCTGAAGTCTTTAAGAATCAACCTTTCCAATCAAAGATGTGGTGGATGCATATATCAGTAGTGAATTTTGATCCTCAGCATTTCAGGCATGCTGAATACCAATACATACACTTAACAATGGAATTAAAATGATTGTACTTTCCTAAGAATATCAAATCTGACAATTAGTATAGACAGTGAGATAGTATTAAATGTGTGATAGTAGTAAATCAAGGGATGAGTAAGGACATTTGTAGTCAAATAAGTAAAACATTTAAAAATTTAACTAAAATACTGAAACTTACAAATATTTGTTACTTATATGCAATATTATATAAACTGATCCTTCTGTTTTTACATGTTTTTGATGATTTAGATATATGTATGAAGCAACAATTAATGAAAAGTCATAAATTTGAAATGTGTCAAGGAGTGAGAATAGGGGGGAGGAAAGGTAAGGGGGAAATGATGCAATTAAATAACAATCTCTAAAAATAAGATAGTTATTGTTTTTTTAAAATACAGAAGAAAAGTTTGGTTCAGAGGAATGGGTGGAACAATGAAAAGTATAAAGTAGATGTGGAAGAGACAGTGAGGAGTAGATTTTATGAAAAGATAATGTAACAACAGCAGATGATTAAGAAATATAAACCACACAGCACTACTTCTCTCCCACTCCTACTATCACCACACTTTCTCTCCCTCAACTGCTTGTCCTTTTCTTTCTTTCTTTTTATTATTATTAACCTTGGAATCATCTTAACGTTTCTTACACAAATAGGAAATTATAAATACATGAAATTTTAATTATAATAACTATGCACAGAAGGCGCACATATAGAGACATATAAATACCATGTGTCTCTGCATGACTATACAGGTACTTGTCAAATTAAGAATGACAGGATGGGCCTGAAACAGAGTACAAGCTGATCCTACATTCAAAACAGCTGTACAAAACAGCCCTACAGACTACAGCCAGGATATCTGAATCTTCTTCGAATCCCCCAAGACAGCGCCCCTTACCAGCAGGAAGTAGTTTGGAAAGAACGACGCCCAAATTCCCAAATATTGTGTATAAATGTTTGTTTTCATTTAATTGGACTGTTATATAAAATTAAATAAAATTAAAAAAAAAAGAATGACAGGATGGCATTTTCTGGGCTGGATTAGATTAACATTGAGAGCATGTGCTGCTCTTAGAGAGGACTCAGGTTTGGTTTCAATGCATGTATCATGTGGTACAAAACTTTCTTTATATACAGAAACTGGGAACCAAAAACATTTTTCTGTGTACTATGGGCACCTGCACACACACACACACACACACACACACACACACACACACACACTCCTGTTGCATATTTGTAATCCAATATTACAATATTTCTCTTCTTTCTGAGCATTCTTTTTCACCAGAGAGCTTAATAACCTTATTTTTTTCTACCTCTTAAAATTACGATAGTATACCCATGTTTATAGTGTACATGCCTTAATATCCAAAGATGGTCATTGTTCTAAACCAAAGTAGCTCATATTTATCTTTCAAGAACAGAATATGGATTTCAAGAAAAATTCATTGTTTAGTATGGCAGTTATCACAACCCAATGATGATATCAACTGAGAGGAAGTTGTTAGTGATAGGGAGGAATTAATATTCTTTTTCCTTGAGAAATCATGTGTGGATATTAATTTCAGGGGAAGAGAAGACAAGAATATTGGTATTTTTGTAATAATGAGTAAACAAGCATTATTAATTATCTGTCTTTAAATTCTTGTGATATTACTCATGGAGACTAATCAACACAGTCATGCAAAAGTTAGCATCAGAGCTCAGACTGAATTTTACTTTTAGAATTGAATTTAAAGTACATTTCTTGTGCCTATCTTATGGCCAGAATATTTTTCTGTAAACATGCCAATTGACAGGCAATGGATGATTGGTGAAATGATGAATTGAGTAGCCTGTGTCTCAGGTTAGGAAGTTCAGGAAAATTTGTAATTATTTCTATGTTTCCTAAGTTTGATCTGTGTACATTATGTGATTACAAGCAGTAGGGACAGTTTCAGACATAAATCAGAAGGCGCTGACCTGCTCTTGACACAAGAGTTAATCATGAAAATATACTGCAGTTCTTTGTATTTCAGGTAATTGTAATGCAAATGTTGATATAACATCCCCACTTTCAAGAGCAGTAATTTCTCTGCTTCAAAATCAAAATACTAGATAAATTTTGGAAGGAGATTTAAAGACTGGGCATTCACTCATGCTGGTTACAGACAAGGGAGGCATGAGATAGAGTTCCTGATATAGGGTTCCATATGTATATATGAAAATTAATGAGTGTTTCAGAAACACATTTACAAATATTATGCAGAAAATCTCATAGTATGAATGTTAAAAAATCAAGATATATGCATATGTATATGTACTTGTTGACTGCCCACTAAGAAAATGGCAAAAAGCTAGCCTGATAATGTTAAATTGAACGTGTTTGTGTGTGTGTGTGTGTGTGTGTGTGTGTGTGTGTGTGTGTGTGTGTGTGGTGTATAGGTAGGTATAGATAAATATATGTGTATTTAAATATTTACTTAAATATATTCCATCTATATTTGTAATATATCAATAATGCCTTTACTTCTGAATGGGAAAGAGATATGTTTGGAAATGAGACTATTTACAGAAAGAAAAGAAGTTAACTTGCTCACTATAAAGAATATCATATTGTTACAGCTTTGCTTCTGCTTACAATCAGTATTTGGCTTATCTTTCCAAGAATAATGAAATCTCATACAACTGTCTGATATGAGAGTGAGTGATTTTACATATCTCCATATTGATGAATCTCTGGTAAGTTAATCTCATCTTACATGAATTTTTCACCAGCTTCACTCTGATGTTGATAAAGGAGATGGTTCCATCAAATACATCTTGTCAGGCGAAGGGGCAAGTTCCATTTTTATTATTGATGAGAACACGGGGGATATTCATGCCACCAAGAGACTGGACCGGGAGGAGCAGGCCTATTATACACTCAGAGCCCAAGCTCTTGACAGACTCACCAACAAGCCTGTGGAGCCCGAATCTGAATTTGTTATAAAAATTCAGGATATCAATGACAATGAACCCAAATTTCTGGATGGCCCATACACAGCAGGAGTTCCTGAAATGTCTCCTGTTGGTAAGTAAAGAGCACGTAGTTTTTGTATTAAGTATTTGAAAATATACACTGGTCTATATGTAATGATGGTCAGAATGAAAGAAAATTGGTGACATACTTGAAGACATGATTAATTCATTCAAATCATCATTTATAGGTTTGGAAGTTACAAGATGTTTTGTTTTGTTGTTTCATATTTTAACATTTTGTAATAATTTTATCCTGTTCTACTGGCTCAGCTTTCACTGTCTTTAATATTAGCTTGTGCATTTTCCTTCCTATTAAATAGTTGCATAAAAATATGATTATAATAAAATCTAACAAGTTATTTTTAAAATGTCTTTTACTGTATGCTCTTTCAACCTTCTTTCTCCTCTTCTCCTTCTTCTTCTTTTATCTCTTTCTCTCTCTTTATTGGCAGATTGTTCTAGAGACTCCAGAAATAAAACAAATAGCAAAACCTCTATTAGGGCAATGATCCCCTGTTTTTTCACTTCTTTTTGTTGCTGGTACCTCACCAGATTAATACAGTGCTGCTCCTCCTGGTCAAATCCCTTGGTGGATTCTATCCAGTATCAAGAAGTATGATTATTATGCATACATTCAAATTATTCTTTTAATTGATTGATTTATGGAGTTAAAACATTTTAAGAAATTATTGTTCCAATACACTTAGAATTTGTTGGACACGTACTTAAATGGATTAATAAAAGTTTCAAATTTTAAATACTGAGTATCAAACACTGAAATGCAATGACAATGTATTAAAGTGTACTAAAAGTTTAATTCTCACAAAATAGTTAAAATAAAATTGATTGATATGTTTTTAGGCCATAAGCTTTCAATGTTTAATATTACAGTTTTTACGTTTTAAAATGTACAGTAGGACAACATTTATAAATGATAATAAGTCTGTAGGACAATTCCTAAATTGCTACAGAGCTCAAAAAGGCACAGATGCTCTCCATTCAGAGACTAGAATCAAACCTCTGCCAGTAAAGTGTTTGCCATGAATGCATGAGGTTCTGAGCTCAACCCCATATTATAAGCTGGCAGTATACTGCATTCCCAATCCTGGTATCATCACAAAGAGACTCCTGTGGTTTCTCACTATTAAGCATATTCTACTTAATGAGGTCCAGGTCAAGGAGAAACCCTATCTCAAAAAAAAAAAAAAAAAAAAAAAAACAAGCTGGATGGTGCTTTAGTAATGAGACACACATTTGACCTCTAGCGTCCCCACAAGAACACCATCCACAACACATACACACCCGCCAACTTATACCCCAGAACTTTATGCATTTGCAAATTCAAATGTGCTGATAAACTAAACATTTATATAATTTTCACGCTTACAAATCCTTGAAATATGGCTCAGTTTGATTTAGGAATACACACGATACACCATACTGTTTTGTTTTGTTTTGTTTTGTTTCTGAGGCATAGTGAAGTTCACCAAAGGAGAAACAAAGCACAAGCAATTATTATGACTATAAGTTCATGATTTCTATTAAAAAACTATAAGGCAGATGGAATTGACAAGGTATATCATAATATGGAAATGGTGTAGAATTCTGGAAAATGGTATTAGTGAAATAAACATTGAGAAATAAATCTATGTAAAGATGATAGTAGATTGAAAGTTCCATATTTAGAAATTACTATAACAACATTAATACTCAGTGCATCAAAATTATACCTTTTCCTTATACAGCACGTATAACATGTTACATGCTAATGCATGCATTAATGCATGATATGATTATGCCTTTTAAATCTTACATTCCAGGTTCAGCAGAAAACAGAACTTGGAATTAACTTTCTCACTTTGTTTTGTTTCTCTTTTATTCAAAATAGATTTTATTCCACAAAATATATCCTGACTACAGTTTCACCACTCTCTGCTCCTCACAGTTCCTCCTTACCTTCGCATCCATCTGGATCTGCTGCCTTTCTGTCTGTTAGTAAACAAACAGTCACTGATCTATGAAATATAGCAACATATCATTAGGAATAACCTCATTACTCATTCCTTTTTCCAGATCAATTATGCAGTTGGGTGCATTGTATAATAGAAGAATAATAAAAAATGGGGTGGGATAAAAATTTTAAAAACTTAAAAAAAAGAAGAAAACAAACAGGTTTCTGGAAGATAACATTATAATATAATATAACACAATATAATGTAATAGGATATAATGAATAATATAAAACATAAGCTAACACATTAGAATTGAGAGAAAAACACAGAATTCCTTCGAAGCCTAAATAGTAATGACGACCTATGAAATGAAGACACTGTGACATCAGTATTACTCAAAATCAGAATGCCTTGTTTTAACCACCATTCTTTTTAACTTTGGAGAGTTTTGCTCAAATGTTTTAATTCAATGTTTTTAAATGAATTAGTATAGTCAAGCAAAGAAACAAAAAGTTCAGAACACCAATCAAAGAGATGAAGTAAATGTTCAGTAAAATGGAACTTCTCATCCTACAAGTACAGATTTCTGTTTGATTAATCACTCTCGTTGATTAATGAGGGGAAACAGGTATATGATTCCTTTTGTGTCTCAGTCTGCCTCCTGAACAGTTCCTGACTATGGTAGACAATGCTCTTAATGGAATTTTGACAACTGAGCATGATGGTCGAGACACATTATCTAACCTCTTTTGTCTCTGTTTTGAATCTAATGTTTATCGTTCTGTAGTAACTTTGACTAAATAATTTCATACCACCTATTTCAAGGCATTTTTTTTTTCTATAAAGGATTTTTTATTAACATTTGTTTCCTTAATTGGGTTTAAGCAAAAATATACTGGATTGATCTTTCATGTGCTTTGATGAAGATGCTTTAAATCAAACAAATAAATATAGCCTAGAGTTTATGACAGTTTGTGAGTGCTGTAGTGTCATCCTACTTAAGAAATTTAATCCAAAAACTGTTTGTTTGTCAACTAGGGACTTCCGTGGTACAAGTGACAGCCACAGATGCTGATGATCCTACCTATGGCAACAGCGCTAGGGTGGTGTACAGCATTCTGCAAGGACAGCCATACTTTTCAGTGGAGCCAAAGACAGGTAAGAAATAAAATTTGCAATTAGTGTAGTATTCATTTAAAGTCTAGTTTTTACTTAATATTTATTTTATATTATATAATAACACTGATAATAACACTGACAGGACAGGGTTTCTTTGAGCCTGTCCTGGAACTAGTTCTGTAGAGCTGGTTGGACTCGAATTCATGAAAATTCTCTGCCTCCCCAGTTCTGGGATTAAAGCCGTGCACTACAAATGCCCAGCCAATAACATTGGGTACCTGTTATTTTGCTCTTCTCAATATGTCATAATTACAAGGTATACTATATTATGAAGGAGATCACACTTATTTTATTCCATTTACCTGTATTCATGCAAACATTAAATACAATAGAATTTACAATTATCTCAGATGTGACTCCTGACGTTATTAGAACGATTTGAATACCTACTTGCATATTTTATTTTTGTTTTCAATTCATGCAGAAAATTAGTGAATTCATAATTTAAAACAAGCACAATGTTTTATCATTCAGTGTACAATATGAAGTAGGTCTAATCTGTACTTACAGATGCTAATTCATAGAAAAAATAGGAAGAACTGAATTTATGAATTGCTAAATAAAAATAAAAACAAGTTCCTATCATTTTATGCTAAAGTATTATAAGTTGCAAAGCTACCCAGAGAAATCCTGTCTTTAAAAAAATGTTTAGATAATGTACTTGAAGTACAATTTTTGTTTAAAAAAAAAAAGATTATATAATGTTGGCCTTTTTTTTTTTTTTTTTTTTTTCCTCTCAAAGTGCCTAGAGGCTGGTTTGGCTCAACATTTTAAATATTCTCCCTTTGAATATCTTTTCCCTATTAAAATGCAAAACATTTACAACATTTAACTTTTTAGGTTGCATAAATTCTCAGATGAGTATATTCTTAAAGATACTGAATTGCCACTATGACTCTAGTTTAATATTTTAAAGGTAATAGATACATTGTTCATATTTCATTCTTAAATCAAAGCAAGGGCAAATATTTCACATGCTCTTTTCGACAACAATAGTTATATGCGTAAGAAGTTAAAAAAAAATCCTACTCAGACATGAAAAGTTAGTACAGTTTTCAAATGTGATTTGGCCTGATGTGCGTCAAACAAATAATAATGTTTGGGAAATATGTAGAAATCAAATAGAGAAGAAATCATTATAATTAAGCAAGTGAGTTGTGAAGGTGAATAAATTAATGCATTTGGACATGTCAGTGTAGAAGTTGTGCATATTTAACTAAATACCATATGAGAGTAACTATATTCAGTCAGCTTTCCTTTGAATCAGATGCTTTAGACTTGAAAAATTGGAAACCTTTGAGAATATGCTTACAAATCATTTGCTCTTGTATTATATAACCTGCTCCAAATGAAATATGGGGAAACAAATGAATAAATATTACACTCCCAAAGTTTGTCTTATGAGTTAGTGTTGCTTCAGAATGTAAAACTTTTTTCCAACCCATAAAGCTGAAATTGCACTAATTTGGTATGTGCCATGGGTTTATATTGTTAGTATTAATTAACACAATCTTGATTCTTATTTCAAGATATTATATTTATTTGGGAGAATGTGATGGAAAATTGTTTTTAATACTGAAACATTGAAAACTGTTGGGGTATCTCTCCCTACAATTTTTACCTCAGACATATTTTGTACATACTTGTTTATTGAACTATTTATACTATTTAGAATATACTTTTAAAAGTAAAAATAAATTGTGGTAAATTGGAAATTTTATAATAATTTGGTTCTTCAGAGCAGAAATCTAATTTTAATATCTTCCTTACTGATGTCAGTTGATGTTTATCTGTAAGAGGAATCCTATTGTTTTCTAATTCTTCAAATTTAAGAATTTTGTAGAAGAAAGTAAAATTTTGACAGAAAGATATGCTACATAAAGATTATTAAAATAGGTCCATGAAATCAATCTTTGTTACTGCTGAAGGTTATTTACCTGATGATAAAGTAACTAGTGTAATATCTTATAGTGCATAGTCTATTAGTACAGTGTTTATGCAACAAATATGTTCCTGCATGGCAGTCTCTCATTTTACTGTAGTTTCTCCTTACACAATGCCAAAATGTGGGTAGTAGCAAAAATTAATATTGACAACTTGCTTAAAGATGTAATTCATGTTGGTTTTATTTCATATTTAATAAGACTGGCTAACAAATTTTCAATGGAAAACAATAGTCCTATTGTTTGAAATTCAAACTAAGCAAACAGAAAACCTAATTTAAGGAATCTAAGCTCAATAAAACAATCTCTGGAAAAGAAATTCAAGGCTGCACCTTGGTAAGTGTTTAGGTTTTGTTTGAACATGTATGATTGGTTTATTCCATAATGTCTCTGTACTGTGTGAGCAAATGATGCCCATAGAAGTCATGATATATTGTAACTGGCAGCGTAGATGACTGATCCATCATGCAAGTATTAGGAATATTTATCTGCCATCTCTCTTGCTCCCATTGAAGAGTTCTTTTTTGAATGATTCTAGTTACAATCATTTCATACTTTTCAGAAATTATATAATTGCTTGTTTTAAAGTTATTTTGTTAGTAATTTCATCATAACACCTGAAATATCTACTCCCATATTACTTTCATTATTTTCCATTCATCATTTTAGAGACAGGTTATTTCATTGACCCAAACTCCTCAAGTCAGGTAGGCTGGCTGGCCAGTGACTCCAAGTAATTGCTTTTCTCCACATACCCAGTGCACAGTACAATATCTAGCTTTTCCAGTTTGGTTCTTGGGATCAAACTCAGGTGCTGATACTTTCAGAGCTGATACCATATCCATTCCTTGTGTCAGAAATGACTTAGAAATTAGGAACAGATTTTGGCACATTAAGTTTGTCCATACAGTCTGATACAGAAGCTGGAGTGATCCTCTCCACAGTTACATGGTCTTGCAGCATGGCACCAGCAAAGAAGCAGAGATTTCAAGCAAAAATGACAGTGTGCAATAACCTTCAAATTCCAATCCCTAGGAACTGACTTCCTTTAGCTGGGCTCAAGTTTCTCAAGATTGAATAGCCTCCAGTATCACCAAAAACGGACAAAGTGGTAGGACTCAGAGTCTTCAGGGCATGTTTTACATTCAAATGAATACTTCAAAAAATATGAAGCTTAGGTTAAAATTTAAAAAGGAACACAGGCTTCAGAAAGAAATTAATCTCTCATATATCAAGTATATATTAATTATATAATTATATTTAAATTTTCTTTTAGGAATTATTTCTGTTCTGAAGATTATTTTTTTTCAGGTAAAGGGGGAACATCCTGAAAAGAGTCATGATTTTGTGTTACCATGGATGTCTGATGAAGAATAGTAATTAATACTAGTAAGAAATATACCAAGTTTGAGATTATTGCCCATTTTTGGAATTAATGCATTTTTACCATTGTATTGTCTCTAATAAGAGATATTTGCTTAAAGCAGCAAGCTTTCAGTGTTATAGTAATTACATTTCTATATTCCTTTGAAATAGAACTTTCAAGCTTTGAAAAATTGAAGGCAGCCTTAACTTTTTTTTTTTTTTTAATCATGGCCCTGTTCCAGAACTATACAAACAAAGCCAGGTGTTTTACACTAGTTTTCATTATATCTGTAAATCTTTGGATATATTATACAATAACTCACAACATTTAGATCTGATCGCTTCTATTACATAAATCAGTATATTTATTATCCTAAAGCAGTGTAAGCCTCACAAGTCAACACTCCTGAGAGTGTTCCCCTTTTTGTACTCTGTTTGACTTAAATTTTATTTCCTAATTAACTCCTAATTCATTACACCTTCAGTTATTTTAAATTCATTTTGTTTTCACCAGTTTCTATATTTTATAAACAAGTGGGTTTATTCATTTTAGAAAGTAGTATCTTTCATAAAGAAAGAAAGTGATGTTAGGCCTGAGTTTACAGAGGCCACACCACACTTGCTATCCAATCTAAGTATCTATGGAGTACTCTTACCTATAAATCAGCAGTCCATCATATTGTGCAGTTTGGTCTTGACTAGTGGGCTATTTTTTTGTGTCAACTTGTCACAAGGTTGAGTCATCACAGAGGAAAGACCCTCAGTTGAGGAAATGCCTTGATGAGATTGTGCTACAAGATGTTTTCTGATGTAGTGATCATTGAGAGAGGGCCGAGCCAATAGTGGATGTTACCATTCTTGGGCAGGTGATCCCGGGTTCTATAAGTAGGTAGGCTGAGTGTGCCAGGGGAAGCAAACCAGTAAGCAGCCCTCCTCCATAGCCTTTGTATCAGACTTTGCCTCCAGGATTCTGCCCCAACTTCCTTCAGAGATGAACAGCAATGCTGAAGTAAACCCTTTCATCACCAAGTTGGTACTTGGATATGATGTTTTGTAGTAGTAATAGAAACCCTAACTAAGAAAAATTAGAATAGAGTTTTGTTGAAGATATTACCTATATATGCACCATCTCTAAACATTGTGTAACATAACAGCTATGTATCTGAAAACAAAGAAACTCATGTTGGTAGTAATTATGAACATTTATAAGGTATGTAGACAGAATCTGAATGCAGAGCATGTGTATATATTAAATTCATAGTCACGAGTCACATATATTGTTCTTATTTACATGTTAATATTCCAATGGAAATATTATCTTTGAGTAGCTACATGAAAATCAATTAAAAACAAAGGAAAGGGGCAAATGACATGTTTTACTGATATATTATACTTACATATACAATCCTTGATAACACTATTAACATTCTTTCAAGGATGGGCTGTTGCTACTTTTCAAAGATTTGCATCAAGTGACTTTATGGCCCTCACTCCCACATGTATTATTAACTACACAGAAATCAAAAGGAACGTGATATGGCTAATATTTCATTTTAGTTCTTGGAACTGTCAGAGTTACTCTCTGAAATAAAGGCAGCCATGATGAGAGGAGAAACATTAGTGGTTTTAAAAGGGAGTAAGCACAGGTTTTTTACAGGTAGGTGGTATTCTCAAACAATGAAACACCTGTGAAACTGGTGTCTCAATGCTGAGACTCAAATTTTATTATTAATCTATTCGAAGTATGATATTAAATGTTGATTTAGTTGTAGTAAGGCAAATGCCAATGAGTTGACTAGTCACAACATAAATAAATCTGTGTTCCCTGAGAATGTGTTTTTTAAGATTGCCAATTTTTAAAGCAGAGTGTGCAAAAAAAATTGGAAGCATCAAGCAGTCACCTAACTGTGATTGATTGCAGAAAAGAAAATCTTACCTGATACACATGATCACGTTATGAAATTAAGCTTCCATGGTAACAGGACAGGTTTTAAAATGAATCCCAGTTGGTGGCCCATTAGAAAATCATGAGTGTTTTCCCTCAGACTACAGAACAGTTGTTGGACAAATGCAAAATATATCCATGCAGTGTTTGTATATTTTTAGGATGCTTTATCTAAATTATGAATTATCTGAATTATGAATATAAAGTATGAAAAATTTTTATCAAAATTAAAGTTCAGATTTCTGGTATTAGTTAAAAATATCAGAAATGGAAACTTGAAAATAAGGCTAAATATTTTCTAAAGAGCTAGCGATCTATTTATTTTTCACTATATGTGACTTAAAATTACTGATCACTGAATACTTTTAATTTTATAATGCTACTACAATTTTAGTGACCCAGTTATATCAGACTAACTTCTACCAGTTTATAGAAGAAAGAAGAAAGAGTTTAAAATTTTCTCATTGTGTACATGTAAGAACATAATTACTAACAAAATAAAATATAATATTTAAGAATTATTTCCCTAATATCAGTTTCTATCTTAAAGCAAAAATATGTAAATACCTAGAAATGAAATATTCTTAAGTATTTTTATCTAAAGTCAAGTGTCCCCTATTATTTTGTTTCTGTGCAGTAGCTGAAGGATTTGGGAATTTCCCCTCTCACTTGCATTCACTTATATGTTTTCTGATTATTTTAGGGTTGAAAAATATTATTTATAAGATTTTTTATGAAGAAATATTTAGAGGTTTTAAAATAAGTAGGTAACTTGATGTCCAGATTTCTATCCTGAGGATGTTATAATTCCTTCCAAAATAAGGTCACCAGGTAAGCCTAGGGAGTCAGTAGTATCAGAATTGTTGTCCTTTGTGTGTGTGTGTGTGTGTGTGTGTGTGTGTGTGTGTGTTTGTGTTATGTACTTTCTCATGTGTGTGAACCCATTTGTATGTCACAGTGAGTATGTGGTTGCTCCAGATTCACAGTGGAGTGTTCCCCAAACTCTATTAATTTAGGATTATTATTTCTATTATTGTGGCTGATCAGCTTTTCCTAGTGACCCCTGCTTGTGCCTCAGAAAGATAGGATTAATGAGGGCTACCTCACCTACTGGACTTGTCCATAGGCTCTGAGTATCCAAAATGGTCTTAACTCTTGTGAAACAAGTCCTTCCATTACCAAACAACCACAAATTCCTTCCAGAATATCTCCCTACCACCTTTAATGTATTCCTACCATAATATTTCACAAAAGTGATAACAGACTCACATTCATGTTGGAATAAAAAATAAAAATGAGTCAAAATAAAAGCGTGGAATTATGAGTAGACTATTATTAATAAAATGTTTTTTCATGAAAATTAATTGTGTTTATTAGCCATTCTCAGGATTATCTGTCTTTAATTAAAAAGACACACTAAACATATTAATAACAAATAAAGACATGAAAGAAGAAAAAGACATAAGTGCCTAAGTTCAAGCAAGAATAAAAATTGCTGACAAATATTTATTGTGGGTGAAGCACATGCTTATTTTGCTGTATATTTAGAAATAATGAAGAAACAAAATATTCTACAATAATTGCAGTTCACAAAGGGTACCTTTAAAAGTATCAGATATTTCACAAGTAAAACTGCTGAGTATATAACATTTTTTTTTCATTTTTATGGTAACATGGCAAAAGTAAATAATTAGTATACAGATAGCAAAAAGCCACTGAAGATGTTAATATGTGATGCTATGCAGGTACCTATTGCCAACAGTTATACACAATGCATTAGAAAAAGGGAGTGATGTCAAAATAATAAAATTTGGCCTATGTGAGTAGGCGTTGTTATAATGAATATGTGTGGATGAGTTGCTGATGTGCTGTGTTTATACGTGTTTTAGTATGTGTGCTTATGTCTGTGAAATAGTTGTAGATATAGTTATATAATGTATTGATACCATTCAACTTGGAGTCTTGGTATTTGATAATGATTTATTATAAGTATTTGAAGTGGAAGAGAAAGAATCAACACATTATTTACCATAGTCTTTATCTTATATGTTTTCATTTTTAGAAATATAATGATACTTTGTTCATTTTCAAAATGATGTTTATTTCAGTATTTTTGTCTAAAACTTTCAGTAGCTCTTGCTCCCATGATGGTCTTTTTACCATTTGGCTTTGTGGGACCAAAACTAAGATTGAGAATCCTCTGAGCAGCAGCAGAGATCTCAGGGTGATGATGATGATGATGATGATGATGATGATGGTGATGATGATGATTGTAGTAACAGAGTAATCCAGACTGTTCTGCAGTTCACCCTCATTGAGAATTGAATGCCCTGATCACCTGATCACTTGTTTTCTACTTCTGACATGCTGGGATTATAGACTTTCTCCATCTGGCCATGTGGTTTTGATTCTTAGATACAAAGTTTCACTCTCTAGCCAAGATAGCCTGCAATTTACTGTAGAGCTGATTTGCCCAAGTGTAGTCAAAGTAGGAGATTAAAATGGCCAATCAGCATCTGAATCATTTTGATGTGGAGAGGTTAAAGATATCAAACAGAGCAAAGGAAAAGGGATAGGCTCACAAATGGAAAAAATGTTCACTTTTTTTTTTTTGTGAGTGCATGAAAATTTTCTAAAATTTCTAAATGCAATTTTCTTTTTATTTGCATGGTTTCTTCTAGCTATCACTATGGCAACTGCCAACTACTCAAAATGTGAAGGTTTACTATTTAACATGCAAATGAGATTATAATAAAGATAGATGTTCTTTGTCAGTCCTTCTGACAGCAAGTTAAATAAACATCAGAACTTTGGGACTACAGACAGGAACTATAAGCAATATTAAGGCTGGGCATAAAGTTTATTCAGGTCATATAGGAGGTAATCAGTGCAGCAAAACTAAAACTACTTTTCTCAAACAAATACCGAGACCATATTATACACTTTTCTCTACTTTTTAGTATAATGTTTATATGTGTACACACACATACATACACACCACACACACACACACACACACACACGTACAATGTGAATCTGAACATATAAACTATATGTACACCCATGACCTCTAATCTTTGCTAAAATAGGAAAGAAAGCCAAAAAAACAAACAAACAAAAAAAAACCCACAAACACAAGATTTCAAGTGATCAGGGCATGTTGTTCCTTTATGGGTATTTGTTGCTGCTATATAATGTAGTGAATCATGGTACTCTTTACTGAGATTTAAAATCTTACAGGAGTCATCAAGACTGCTCTTCCAAACATGGATAGAGAGGCTAAAGACCAGTATTTGCTTGTCATTCAGGCAAAGGATATGGTTGGTCAAAACGGCGGACTATCGGGAACCACTTCAGTTACCGTGACCCTAACGGATGTGAATGATAACCCACCTCGCTTTCCAAGAAGTAAGTTGTTTTAAGCGATGACTAGCTGAAAATAATCTTTACAATTCTTTTAAAATACTTTTTCATTTTTTTCTTCTCTCACATATTACATCCAATTACAATCTTGCCTCCCTCCTCTCTTCCCACACCTTCCTGGCCACCTGCTCTCTCCTACAGAACCATGCCTCTTCCTTTCCTCTTTAGAAAAAGGCCAATGTATATCAAACTGATACTGCATTTACAATAAGACTAAGCACAAATCCCAATTTTATGGTTAGTTGAGGCAAGCCAGCAGGAGGAATAGGGTCCCAAGAACAGGCAAAAGACTCATATGACATTTCTAAATTTTCTATTTTATCAAGGGCATAAGTTTAGAATATCAAATAGGAAGGATAATATCTATAAATACAAAACAATTTGCCTTGAATTTATTTATACTTTTAATTGTTGATAAGTATTAATTATAATTCTAAATATATACATATTTTTTTAATTCATAGTGTGCATCCATAGTTGTTTTCACATACCAATATATATATATATATATATACATATATATATATATATATATGGTATACTTTGCTTATGTTTAAAACAGTAGTGGTTATTTTTAAAGTAAGCTTTTTTGAATAATTAACATTAAGTGCACAAATTGATGCAATTCATCTTATTAAAATAATATGCTTATTTTATGCATTTTAACCATATCATACACATTTCTTTTAGAGTTTTACCATATTTCTATCATGCAAATTTAATGTCTAAAAAATAATGAATCACAAGCATCAGGAATCCACCCTCAGATGAGTACCTGGCCTAAGTGTCTTTGGATTTATCAAGAAATAAGGAGAAAAATAAAAATGAGAACCTGTAGTCTCAGGGTAGCTGTGCTTTTTTTATAAAAAAATTTTATTCTACACTTCTTTTCTACATGTTTTTGTAACATGTGAAACTTGTTTAGAATGTATTATTTTCCTTCCTTCTTTCATTTCTTTCTATATATTTCTTTTTTATTTTTATAATTGCACCCCATATATAATGTGCCTTAATAGTCTCCCTAATAACCCATTCTTATTACCTTCCCTCTTCCTTGGAACAGCCTTCGTTCCAGTGAGTCTGCTAAATACTGTTTGCTTGTATGTGACTCTCTGCACTTACTTTACATTGTCTGCATGAGCATGGGCAAATAGGCAGGTCATATTAGTACAAGATTATCTTGCACTTGGCTACTTTAAGGAATACTACTCCTTTTCCCCAGTGACTTTAACTGCCATTGACTTAAACCTCAAAGATTAGTCTGTTTGTCCAGTGTCTCTTATATGGTTATTCAATAGAAGCAGGGAATCAAATTCCATACCAAGAGAGAAAAAATAATATAAACTAATCACTTTGAGCTACAATAAAAGCTGTTATTTTTAATATATAGATATAGATATAGTATATTTGATACTTGTATTATTTTAGAAGAAACATTATAGTACTTCCAGAAAGGATAGAAAAAAACACAGGTTTTTTGTCAAAATCATAAAACTTCCCTTTATGCATTTTATGGCTTACCATGGGACAAAGGGAGCAGTTTTTGAAAAGAATGTTATTGTTATCTTATGTTCCCTGTAATATGACGACTGCATCTCTCTAAAGGTAATGAAGTGATGGTGTTGTCACTTTCTGTACCTGTGCTTCTCATGCTTTTCTGACATGAAAGGCATTGTCTCATAGCCTTTCCTGGATTCTAAAGTAAAGAAATTCAAACAGTTATCATGCCATTTCTATTTTTTATTATTATTTATCTCAGATTTTTCTGAAAATTAGTTATTACTGTAACCTTGAAGTCTCTGAGTTGTATTAATGATACTTCCATGGGTGCAAGGAACCCATTGAAAATGTTACAGATATAATACCATCATTTTAAAAATTGCAGTATTCAGTATTCAAAAATCACAGTCCAAAATGACAGTGTTCCCTTTCTTTTCTACATCCATCTTAAAGATTGTCCGTTTCATATGGCAAACTGCTAATGCAGCATGGAATTACAACTAATAGACTATGAGGTAGGTCTAAGGGGCAAGAAAAATAAATATTAGAAGCAAATTGTCAAGGAACATATTCTTCTGTGGCATCCCTACTTTGTTCTACATGCCCCTCAATTTTTTTATATGGAAAAGGGTGAAAATCAGTAAAAGGAAAAACAGTAAAATATGTTTGTATATGTTATTTCTGTTTTTCATTTATTTGTCCCCTTTAAAATAATATTACTTATTATTTTACACTGTCACACACAAAATCATGACTTTAGAATTCACAAATTCAACTCTTCTCTCTAAAAGAATATTAAGACTTTATGAGTTAATACATATTACCATTCCCACAAGTGCTTGTCCAGTTATGTGTAAGTATATTTATAAAAGATACTAAATAAATCCATTGTTAATGATCAGAAATATTAGTCATGCCTTTGGATATTTGTAGCAGGCAGCATTTTATTATTCAATATTATTGTGTTGATTATTATATCTAAACGTTAATTTTCATCAGGTTATCTATATTCCATCACATATTATTACTTCACCATGATCCTCAAATTTATTGAGGCTTCATGATGCTTAACAATTATTTTAAAATGTCCTAGCTTTTCTTTATTGGGAAAACAAAACAATATGATACTATGGAAAAGAATAAGAAAACCAGTAGTTCTTGAAAGAGGAGGATTAAAATGTACTCTTAATTCTTTATTTTGACATTTCATAGGATCTTATCAGTATAATGTTCCAGAATCTTTGCCTGTTGCATCAGTTGTGGCCAGAATTAAAGCTGCTGATGCAGATATAGGAGTTAATGCAGAAATGGAATACAAATTAGTGGATGGTGATGGTTTGGGGATTTTCAAGATATCTGTGGACAAAGACACACAGGAAGGAATCATAACAATACAAAAGGTAATGTTCCTATTGTTACTTATATTCTATAAGGATGATGAGGTGGACCATCACATTACAAGGTGTGCTTTGATACAACAATGTGCCAGAAACACTGAATGTCATACAAAGCCATTGCTATTTTAATTTATGGAAGATTAATCTATGTATTTATATTTAGTTGTCAAATTTTTGTGGAAATTTTAATGGCATTTTCAATAGTATCTTTACTATTCCTCTAGTAAAAACAATACCATTATTCAAGGTCCAGTATCAGTTAGACTATTGTAAACTGTTTGGATTTGAATATCCACAAGGAGACATAAATGTTCCTTTATTGAATGGAGCCTTAAATTCAACCCAAAGTTAAGTTTTGCAAAACAAATACTATGTGCACCACATGTAAAAACATAATACAACTATGAGAACCAAATTAAGGTAGTCTTACTGCATTAGCAATACTCTGCTTAAAAATAAAGAATAATTACGATGTGAGAAATTTATAGTAAAAGAATATAGCAAGTTTTAATTCTATTGTAATCTATCTTTTACATGAAATGCAGATAAAATAGCAGTGTAATAGAAAGTAGTATTTCTGTTCTTTGACATGTTTAAATTACTTCCACAGTTCTTTGATTAAGTGTAGGTACTTTTAACCTTATGCTCTATTTAATGTTGGTTTTGGAACTTTGGCAAACGTTTGTGGAGAGATAATTGACAATTGAAGGCAAAATAACATAGTTGTGAAATATCAAATAACTTGAAATGTTAAAATTTTGGGATTCTCAATCGTCCTCAAATTAGGATGTTTGTTATGTTCAAACTCCAGGAGCACAACTCTTTAGTTAACATTCACTGGTAATTAACATACAAATTAATAAAGTTATAGTTTAATATTTATATTAAGATAAATGTTTGTTTCTAGGCCAATGGGCTAAAAATTCTGCAATTATTATCAGTAGACAGATGTTTTTTTTACCTCAGCAGATAGTAATCTTTGTGAAAAGTTGTAATAAGTAGGACAGTCCAACTATTTTGAAAATATTTTGTGTTGTCTAAAACAAAGGTATTCAATAAGGTATATCTTTTCTCTAAGATTTCAAAGATATTACAAAATCAATATGGTCATATTCAAGAAACAGTCTGAAAATATTTTGATTCATCGCATGCATATATTTTATAGACCTTAATAGGCATGACATAAATAACTAGAATTATATTTGGCATGTGATATTTAATAGAAAACCTAACAGGTTATACTTGAATTTGTTTTTTTTGGGGGGGTATTTATTTCTTTATTTATTCTTATTTTACATATTGATCCCAGGACCTTTCCCTCCTTTTGTCCCTCCCTCTCATCCCCCTTTCCATCCCATCCCCCCCCCACTCCACAGGGAGGGTGGGTACCTTCCAGGAGGAATCAACAAAATCTGTAAAGTTATTTGGAGTAGGGTCTATGCCCTCCCTCCTGCCTCTAGGTTAAGGTAATATCCCTCCATGGGGAATGTGCTCCTGATGTCCTTTTGTGCACCAGGGATACATCCTGGTTCCACTGTCAGAGGTCCCTTAGATTGCCCAGGCCTTCTAACTGAGACCCATGTTCAGGGGATCTGAGTCAATCCAACGCTGGTTTCCCAGTCAGTCTGGGGGCTCATTGGCTCCTTCTTGTTCAGGTCAGCTGTCTCTGTGGGTTTCTGTGACCTGGTCTTGTCTTCTCTCTCTGCATCTGGATTCCAGTTCAGCTCAGAGTTTAGCTGAGGGTGTCTGCTTCGGTTTCCATCAGCTACTAGATGAGGGCTCTATGATGGTAGATAAGTTAGTCATAAATCTCATTATCAGGGAAGGGTGTTTATGGTAGCCTTTCCACTGTTGCTCAAATTGTTAGTTGGGGTCAGTCTTGTAGGTCTCTGGATATTTCTCTTGAGTCAGTTTTCTCTTCAAACCTACAATGGCTCCCTCTTTTATGGTCTCTGTCTGTCTGTCTGTCTGTCTGTCTGTCTGTCTCTCTCTCTCTCTCTCTCTCTCTCTCTCTCTCTCTCTCTCTCTCTCTCATCTATTCCTCCCCTGACTCAATCTTCATAGTCCCACATGCTTTCCTCTCCTCCCCTTCTCTCTCTCCTAGCTTCCACTCCACTCACTGCCCCCCACTGCCAATATGCTCAGGAGATCTTGTTCCTTTCCTGTTCTGTGAGGGACCTTGTATGAATCTCTTAGATTCCTGCTTGTATCCTAGTTTCTCTGGCAGTGTGAATTATAGGCTGGTGATCATTTGCTATATGTCTAAAATCCATATATGAGTGAGTACATACCATGTTCCTCTTTTTTGTGACTGGGATACCTCATTAAGGATGTTTTTTTTCAAGTTCCATACATTTGCCTGTGAATTTCAAGATTCCATTGTTTTTTTCCGCAGAGTAGTATTCCATTGTGTAAATGTGCCAAATCTTCTGTATCCATTCTTCAGTTGAGGGGCATCTGGTTTACTTCCAGGTTCTTTTTTTTTTTTTTTTTTTTAATTTTATTTAATTTTATATAACAGTCCAATTAAATGAAAACAAACATTTATACACAATATTTGGGAATTTGGGCGTCGTTCTTTCCAAACTACTTCCTGCTGGTAAGGGGCGCTGTCTTGGGGGATTCGAAGAAGATTCAGATATCCTGGCTGTAGTCTGTAGGGCTGTTTTTGTCCAGCTGTTTTGAATGTAGGATCAGCTTGTACTCTGTTCCAGGCGGTCTGGCGTGATCAAGCCGCATTAGTCTGGAAGGAATCCACATCTTTTCATTTTCTGTGGAAACAAAAATAGAAATCCATTTCCCCAGTAACTTGTCCTTCACCTTAAATTTTGGAGTCAAAGCATTTTTTTTTTTAGTTTAATATATTATTTTACATATCGATCCCACTTCCCTCTCCCTCCCTCCCTCCCTCCCTCCCCCTCAGTCCTCCCTCCCCCCTTCCCTCCTTTTTTACCCTCTCTGCCCTCTCACATGCACTCTAAACACCCTCCCCTCCCATCCCCCCACCCCAATTCCATATGTAGGGGGATGCCATCCAGTTGGGGTCATGTAGATCTGACAGGTCCTGTGAAGTAAGGACTAGGGCTTCTCTCCTGCCTCTAGATTAAGGCAGTTATCCCTCCATGGGGGATATGTTCCCAAATTTCTTTTGTGAACCAGGGATACATCCTGGCTCCACTGTCTGAGGTCTCTTAGACTGCTCAGTCCTTCTGGCTGAGACCCATAATCAGGGGGGCCTGAGTCAGTCCCATGCTGGCTACCCAGCTATCAGTCTAGTGGCCCTTAGCTCCTCCTTGTTCAGGTAAGCTGTCTCTATGTACTTCTACCGCATGGTCTTGTCCTCTCCATCTGCTTCTGGGTTCTAGTTCGACTCAGTGTTTATGTATGGGTGTTTGATCCTGTTTTCAACAGGCATTAGTTGAGGGCTCCATGGAGAAGTTAGTTGTTGATCTCACTCTCCAGGAAGGACATTTATGATAGCCTTTCCACGTAAGCTCAACATGTTAGTTGGGAGCAGTCTTATAGTTAGTTCTCTAGACCTTTCTTTGTGTTCCATTTTATCTTCAAACCAATATTGGCTCCCTCTTTTATGTTCTCTCTCTCTCTCTCTCTATCTCTCTCTCTCTTTCCTGTCTTCTATTCCTAACCAGGCTCATTATTCCTGGTCGCACATGTTTTCCTTTCCTCCCCCTCATTTTCTCCTACTTCTCTCTCCATTCGCTGTCCTCCCCCACTTCACCTGAGCTCTGGGGGACTTGTCCCTTCCCAGTTCTGTGAGGGACTTTATATGAATCTCTTAGAATACACCTTGTATCCTAGTTCATCTGGTGATGTGAATTATAGGCTGGTGATCATTTGATCTAGGTCTAAAATCCATATATGAGTGAGTACATACTGTGTTCCTATTTTTGTGACTGGGTTACCTCATTCAGGATGGTTTCTTCAAGTGCCATCCACTTGCCTGCGAATTTCAAGATACCATTATTTTTTTCTTTATATTTACATATATTACATTTCTTTATATTTACATTTTTATTAAATATGCGTGTTTGCTGGCATGGGTATAAGCACATGTGGGTGCATGTTTGTGGGTCTTACATGGAGGTATGTGAAGATTAGAGATTATATTTCAAGATTAGATCTCAACTTCCACTAAGTGTACTAAGGTCCTCAGGTTTGTTTGTAGCAGCATGTATCTTCTGAGTAATCATTATAGCCCCAATTCTCAATTTGTAAATAATAATAATAATAACAATAATAAATTTATTTTCATGATAAAAAATATGTAAAGTGCACAGAAGAACCAACTGTAAACTATGTCCTATTAAAAAACTGCATCAGTGAAATGAACTTCAAAGGGAAACAGTTCTAAAAGAGAAATATGTAAGTAAGTCAACAACAAACTTCTGTTTTATGTGCCTGTAACTATGTCAGAACAATTTAAGGTTAATTAGTCACATGTTCTTCCTAATCTTTGCCTCAGTATCATGAAGGTATTATTTCTTCTAGCTAAAATATGAGAAAATTATTAAATGTCTTACAATGGAAGAAGTGGTTAAATAAGAATTTGGAGAAAATTTCAAAGGACTGACATAATGATGCTTTTTTTTACCATATTAAAAAGTTCCCAAAGTAAAAGAGATTATCTAATTTTTTCCAAACATTCTTATAATTTTATGAAAATTACAATTATATAAAATCAAATATTATGAAACAATTGTCTCATAATTACTGTATATTATGCAATTTTAGTCTAGTGGAAAATTCTAAAATATATAATTGCACTTTGTTGTAAACTATGTTGACTATTAATTGAACTGATAAAAGTGGAGAAATAACTCATTATGTTTTGTGAATTTTATCTACTTTGCATTAAGGGAAACTAAGTACTAAAGAGGACTATTAATCTTTTTAATAAATAAAACCTAAATTTTTCTATTCCTCCTAAATTACACTAATAAGTTTTTTTTTTGTGATTATGGAAAATTCTCTACTCAAGAAAA